CTGGTAGTGAAAAGGTAAAGAGTTTGAAAAAAATTCCTAATTTGGAAAGTTGACAAACTGAAGCAGATGGCATCTACTTAATCCCCACAAATCAGCATCTGAGAAAACTATTTGGCATCAATTCCTTCTAGAGAAATAGTTCAATAACCCAAATCATAGTCTTCAAGATCTTATTTCCAAATGTTTTCTACTGAGAAGAGTGAAGCAGAAACAAATGATTATTTAAAGACCTCAAAATATTTGTGGGGACAAAAATCCAGGTGATTATTGTTAAAGTACTATTTATTGTTTTCCTAATTATAAAAATAATATGCGGCGCTTCCCTGGTGGCGCAGTGGTTGAGAGTCCGCCTGCCGATGCAGGGGACACGGGTTCGTGCCCCGGTCCGGGAAGATCCCACATGCCGCGGAGCGGCTGGGCCCGTGAGCCATGGCCGCTGAGCCTGCGCGTCCGGAGCCTGTGCTCCGCAGCGGGAGAGGCCACAACAGTGAGAGGCCCGCGTACCGCAAAAAAAAAAACAAAAAAGGAACTTCTGACCTAGCTCTGCTCACCAGAGCCCCAGAAGAGACAGGGGCTCAGGGCAGACATCTCTGTTCAGAAATGTAGGTTGAACAGTCCTTGGGGTAATAATAATAATAAATTTAAAAATAATTTAAAAATAAAAAAAAAATAATATGCTTTATCCATTAAAGAGAAAAAGTAGAGAGAAGTCAAAAATGAGTTATCCATACTCCTATCAGTTTTGTTTGTTTTTAACAGAAGTTACAATGCCTTCATAATTTTATGCTTTTTAGGATTGATGTTAAATAGTAGACTTGAAATGTCTATGAGACAAAGTACATTAATGACTCCAATGGAAAACAGCTTAGATAGCCAACAACTAAATTATGCATGAAATAACATTATGTAAATGTTAAAATACTTTTTTCAAAGAGTATTTCATGACATGGGATGACTATAATGTTAAATTTTTAAAAAGCATAAAATATAATAGTATGCACGCTGTAATCTGGATATGATGTCATTGAACAAAATCTTGGAGTGAATCTCTAATTTTTTAATAGTATAATGTACACTGACTAGAAGATGAATTAATGGGTTAAAGGGAACTCTGATTATTTTAATGTGCATTATGAAATTGCTTTCCAGGAAGTTTCTACTCATCCATAGTCTACTAGCAATATCTGAAGTGTCCGTCTTCTGCACTTTTGCCAACCCTACACATTATCGGTTTTCATTTTTGCAAATTTGATAAGCCAAAGACGGTTACTTCATTGACTTAGTTTGCATTTTTATTATTGAGTTTTAATATTTTTGTCTTATATACAGTTGATCATCAGTATTTCCTCTTTTGAGCTGTATCTGTTCATGGGACTAATTCTCATTTTAATTGGGATCTTCTGATACTGTGTTGATTGTAAATGTTTAAACACACAAGATATCTGGACAAAAACTTCAGAGAAGTATTTAAATTATGCCCATCTCATTGAAAGCAGTCATCACTGAAAGGAGTGTCAAGGGAAGAAACTGAATCTCCTCTGGAAGTTAAGTAAAAGGTAAGTGGCTGTCATTTTAAGTGTTCATTAAAATAAGTGGTGGGTGGGGTGGGATGGGATGTATTGTAGAATAGACCGGGAATCCTCAAAATGATCCAGAGCTCAGAGAAAGTATGGAAGGCCTTCTGATCCCCAAAAACAATTCATGGTGAATTCTTTTAAAAGAATATCATTAGTGTCCTGTCGACCTTTCTCAGGATTTCTGTGGTCGTGTGTATGTGTGTGCGCTCGTGTTTAGTGGGGAGGAGGGGTGCAGTAAGAAGCTACGGTGTGCGGGGGTCTCCAGCAAACCCCCCAGACAACTAGACTTCTAGCTCTTCGATTCTCTAATCTCTTCTACTGTGGATACCATAAAAAAAAAAAAAAAAAGACCTATTAAAAATGCTTATCACCAGGAAAATGAGTGACACAAACATGGAGAAAAATAGTGTTCGCTTTGCCCATTCACATATACACAACTTCTAAAATAATCGGCATCATTTGGACATCTTCATATACAGAATGTCTTCTTCCAACGGTGCTGGATAGAATGGGGTCAGGGGGCCCATCGCACACTCAGAGGATTAAAAGTAATTTGATCTCCATTCAGAAGCCTGGTCAGAGGCCAGCAATCAACTGAAAGGCTGCCTCTAGGACCAAAACTGGCTTAACTTCTATCCCATTTCTCTATTTAACCAAACTCATTCCATTCCCAAGAAGCTCTAATTTGATCATTTCACCGTGCCTGAAGTGGAATCATAACATACGTGCAGAAGGCATTTCATGACACAGAGACTAAAAGAACAGTTTTTTTCCTCTCAAACAACGTTTATGTTAATCCAGGGACAGCAATAACCAAGCAGTCTATTTAAGAGATGGGAAGATGGCATTTTCACCATAAAATACCGTGTGTCTTAAGAGTGTCGCTTTAATTAGCCTCCTTTGCTTTGCATGCAGAATTCTCTCTACTTTTTTTTCTTTCTTGGCTGCACCACTGGGCTTGCGGGATCTTAGTTCCCCAACCAGGGATTGAACCTGCGCCCTCAGCAGTGAAAGCACTGAGTCCTAACCGCTGGACCGCCAGGGGAATCCAGAATTCTTTCTACTTAAATGGTCGTTCGGTACAATGTGAGAAAAATGGCAATGGTTTTATCATCACTGAAACCCGGTACAGATTTATTGACAAGGGCTTGGCTTCTACAGGTGAAGCGAAATATAATTCAATAGATAAATAACCTCAAAATTTCAACGAGTGGGTTATAATCATAAAAATGCACTGTCCTTTCAATAAGGTCTTATAGTTACCTGAAGAGGGGCTTCTGTCTCCATCAACGCCCTCTCCAGTTTTTTCTTAACATCGGTTAGTTCATTTGTCTCTCCAATCATTGCATCCAACTCATGAGTGATTTCAGATTTCCAAAATCCTATGTCGTTGACTCGTTCTCCCAGATTGTGGGTGGAGTCTGCCTGGGTTTTTCTCGTTTGTTGATATTTGTCTTGAATCAAGCGAGATGTATCTACCCTTAGTCTCTCTGAATTGTGTCGGGAAGTGTTGGATTCTTGAAAGTTGGTTAAGTTGGACCTGTACCAATCATCGGGAGTATATCTGGTGAAGAGTGTGGTTCTGTTGGAAACAAAGGGAAGCACGGTGCTCTCGGACACCCTCTGAGATCTGGTGCAGTACGGGTCCAAGGCTGGCGAGTTGGAGGCTGCTTTGTAGTACGTGCTTGGTCTCCAAGGCGGGCTCAGACTATGGGTCAGATCGCAGTGGGGGAAGAAGTCCCTATAGCTTGAGGCCATGGCACTGATGGCTGGAAGGAAGGTGGCTGGTGTTGGTCTAGGGCGGGCATAAGTTGCCGCTAAAGTAGAACCTGGAAGCTCCATGATGCTCAAGCACTATTTGTAAATCTCTCCTGCTTAAAAGGTGGGGGAAAGGGGGGAAGCAAAAATAGACAGTCACATAAATCAACCTTTGGTGAAAACTCAGATAAAAGGCTATATCTGACTTACTATAAGCAGCAGTGCTGTCTAACACATTAGATATTTGTTTTAATTTGATAACCACCTTTACCTGTGATAACATATTCTGCATTTTTTTTCATCTCTGTCTCTAGATTGTATTCAAATTACATTTTTGTAGATTGGTCTTTTGAAGTTTTGAAATATTTTTTAAATCATGAGAAGTAACACCGTCTCGTAACAGATTCAAATGAAGAGCCTGAACTATGCTTTCTAACAGATTGGGATTCAGATCTTGGCTCTGCTATTTACTAGCTGTGAGGCCTGGTGCAAATGACTTAAGCTCTCTGTCCTCATCTCTAAATTGGGAATAATAGTAGTAATTGCTACTTTGGTTTGTTATAAGCAGTATTAGCCGCAAGGGGTTGCTGAGCGGCATCCACCGCCCCCCGTCCCCCACCGAGTCTTCCTAAATAAACACAGGATCAGAGTAACACCAGTGTGGCAGGTAAGTAAACATAACTCAAGGAAGTACCTAGGTCCCCTTTTCCTGGCAACTTGCCACCTCTAAGCAACTCCGATATAGACAGACATGCTATGGCAGCCCCTGAGCATTAAGTAAGATGATGCTAAGTATTTGGAATACTTAGCACAGTTCTGGGCACATAGTTAATGCTCAATAAATGTTAGCTTTTAAAATTACTAGCTCAGAGGTGTATACAAAGTAAAAGATAAATATCCACTCTCCCCCCTTCAAAATAAACTCCTCAGAAGTAGACACTGTGAATAATTCATTACTAGTTGTATCTTTCCAGATTTTTCCTTTTCATATACCAACATATATATTATTTTTAAATCTATATACATCTCCCTATATACATATGCACAGAGTTTGTTTTTTTTTTTTAAACATTTTTTTTTTAATTTTTATTTATTTATTTATTTATTTATTTATGGCTGTGTTGGGTCTTCATTTCTGTGCGAGGGCTTTCTCTAGTTGTGGCAAGTGGTGGCCACTCTTCATCGCCGTGCGCCGACCTCTCACTATCACGGCCTCTCTTGTTGCGGAGCACAGGCTCCAGACACACAGGCTCAGTACTTGTGGCTCACGGGGCTAGTTGCTCCGCGGCATGTGGGATCTTCCCAGACCAGGGCTCGAACCCGTGTCCCCTGCATTGGCAGGCAGATCCTCAACCACTGCGCCACCAGGGAAGCCCTGCACAGAGTTTTTTAATACAAAAATTGAATTATCTTAATCATTATATGTATCATTCCAGAACATGCATTTTTGAAAATATATGTATTTTGGACCTCTCCCCCTGTTAAAACGTAGAGAGCCACTTTATCCTTTTTTACCAGCTGAAAATATTCTATTGTCCAGAATTTGGGGTCATTGTTAGTCCAGAAAGCCAAGGATGCCACAGACCATGACATACTTTTCAGCATCTGAACGTCATTCTGTTTGGGGGTTAATGTCTATAGACACATTTACTGAAAAGGAAAAATAATATCAGATCCAATTCTGTAGCCTCCTACTCAGAAAAAACAAACAAACAAAAACACATTCAGAGTCCGCCTGCCGATGCAGGGGACACGGGTTCGTGCCCCGGTCCGGGAAGATCCCACATGCCGTGGAGCGGCTGGGCCCGTGAGCCATGGCCACTGAGCCTGCGCGTCCGGAGCCTGTGCTCCACAACGGGAGAGGCCACAGCAGTGAGAGGCCCGCATACCGAAAAAAAAAAAAAAACACACACACACATTCAATGATTCTTTAAATAGCTGTTTTGATGCCATTGGTACCCAAACCACAAAATAATCTATTTGTAGAATTGTGGCCAAATCAAAATCCACTTGGACTACATGTGATGAAACAGCTACCCACTGCCACTGGTGGTATCCCACCTGACCCTAGCTCCCTGATTTTTTCCTTATTCTTCCCTCCCTCAGCCCCTAAACACTTCATACGGGCCAAGCTTAGAGTACGATGGTAAAAACGAAAGCCTTAATAAACACTTGCCATTCCACACCTAAGTCTGAAACTTAAACATTGCTTTTTGAAAAAGCAAATTCCAAGTAACTTGAGCCACAGGGGCCCTCCTGGCTACTTTTAGTTTCAACCCCTTCCCCAAGTCGCATCTAGAAATAATCCCATCGGTTTTCTTTGAGCAAGAAGCTTCGAGTGGGATTGGACCACTCTTGCTTGGCTTTTCTTAATTCCTGACAACAATGAATCTAAAAGCTAATGTCACACTTGGTCCTTCAATCATGGAATTCCAGGTGTAGAATTCCCACATGTATTTACTCGACACCTATGATGCTGAAATCTTGAGGCAGCTCAATCCATGTTTGTCAAATATCAAACCATGAGTGTTCAGGTTTAACACATGTGTGAAATGCAGGGGTCCACAAGCCAGAGGAGACATATGACTTGAGAAAATCAATATGGTTTGTAAAAGCATCCAGTGATGATTTTTAATTAGAGATGGGATACAGTTTAGAATCTGGAATCTGAAGCATGAAGTCAGTTGTTTAAAAAGTTCCCAGATGTAGAGCTCCTCATATATGGCAGTAAGTTTCACACGAGAGACAATATTCCATTGCCATTCCATATTCCAATATTCCGTGTTCTAGCTCTAAGTCATTTAGGAAGACCCAATAAAAGACAACAGCCTGGCAATGTCTTTTTTTGTTCTTTTGGTCATTATTGGTCAAGAAAATTGAGAATCTCATGGCCTAAGAAATATTTAACTCAAAATAGATTTCTGCCTTCAACCAGGATAGAGTAATAAAACCTAGACTTGGCCTCTTACACCTAAAAAACTAGACAAAATATATGAAACAACTGTTTTCAGGCTGCACATGACTCTGATCTGTGAGAGAAGAGAAACAAATAAGGTGAGCCCTCTGATGACCTGGAGGCAATTTCCAGACTATGGGGAAAACGGATGGAAACCAAACAGAGGCTGGCAGCATCTGTGAGTTGAGGAGGAGGTCAGAATTTGGAGAGGCTGAGACACCTGGAAGTTGGGACGCAGGATTCTGGAGTAAAATGAGTTATGCAGAAAAAGCGCTCCATAAATCTATGTAGGGGTCCACTTGGGTCTTTGCTGAGTAATAGGTTGTACATACATCAAGGAATGTTCCACAAACCTTGGCAAATAATGGTGGCAGTGTTGTTAGCTGCACAATTCCTAGAGCTCACAGAGGGCCCAGAGACATTTTGAACCCAGACCAATCAGAGGGGAGAGTTGTTAGTGGTCACCTGGAGCATTTGACAGAAAGCCCAGAGAGGTCACACATTAGAATGGGGCCGACCTGTCTTTAGAATGAAGGTACTAAAGACTCTGGGAAAGCTTGAATACAGGCCTCAAAGAGCTCAAACTAATCCACAAGTAAAGTGCCTGCCAACGTCAGGAGCTCAAATATATAGCACCACGGTGTCCAGCATCCAATCAAAAACTTCCAGACATGCCAAGAAGCAGAAGAATGTGGCCCATAATTAGGAGAAAAATCAGTCAATAGAAACAGGCATACAAATGGCGGAGATGTGACGGCACTAGAAAACCACGTACGAGTATTTAAAGGAAAACAAGAACATAATGAAGAGAGATATGGAAGACTTAAAAAAGAACAAAATGAAACTTTAGGGATAAAACATATAATATATTCTTGCACAATTTCACTAGATTGGAGTAACTGCAGATTAGACACCAGAGAAGCCAAGGTTAGTGAGCTCGAATGTAACCAAACCAAAGCACAGACTTTTTAATTAACTGGAAAAAAAACATGAAAAGAGCCTCAGTAACTTATGATATCAAGTGGTCTAACATCATGCACTTGGGGTGTCACATTAAGAAGAGAGGGAGACAAAATATCTGAAGAAAAAATAGCTGCAAATTTCCCAAATTTGATGAAAACTACAAACCCCTATGTCTAAGAAGCTCCACACACTCCAGGAGGATAAACACACATCCATGTGTGTGTGCACACACCACGACCTCAAGGCTCATCATAATAAAATGGCTGAAAGTTCACAATAAAGAGAAAAAATTAAAATCAGAGAAAAAAGACACAATAGATAGAAAGGAACAAAGATAAGAATTAGTGAAGAATTCTTGTCAGAAACTATGCAAGCCAGAAGACAATCAAACAACATCTTTAAAGGGTTGGAAGAAAGTGTAATCCTAGAATTCTATTTCCAGTGAAAATATCCTTCAAAGATGAAGGTGAAATAAAAGGTTTTTTTAATATATATATATAAGAGCAAAAGGCAAGAGAATTCAGCAGCAGCAGAACTGCACTAAAAGGGCTGTGAAAGGAAATTCTTCAGGCAAAAGGACATTATACCAGATGGAAACTTGGAGCTACACAAAGAAATGAAGTCTCAGAAATGGTAAGTATGCTAATGCAAAAAAAAAAAACAAAACTTTTCTAACTTAATTTTAAATTTCTTTAAAAGATGGCTGCTTAAAGTAAAAATAATAAAAATTTATTGGGAAGTTTATAATAAAAACAAAATTAAGTTATATGGTAAAAATAGCACAAATGACGGGAGAGCAGAAATGGAAAAGTACTATTGTAAAGGCCTTATGACTAAAATGGAATAATGTTATGCAAGCATATACTACAGTAAGTCAAAAATGCATACTGTAAACCTTAGAGCAGCAGTTCTCAAAATGTGACCCAGGAAACCATGGGCTTGCCTAAGACCTTCTCTGGAGTGACAAGGTCAAGGTTATTTTTATAGTAAACACCCAGATGTGATTGGCCTTTTTCACTCTCGTTCTCTCAGAAATGTACAATAAAGGTTTCCAGAGGTGACATGATATGCGACATCACAACAGACTGAATGCAGTAGTAGACATGAGAACCCCCCTACTAACAAAAATTTTAAAACTTTACCAAAAATGTGAAACAACGCCACTCTTCTAACTAAATTTGTTTCAGAAAACATAGTTTTTTAATGAAAAGTATTATTTATGTTACTATATAATAGGTTGTTATGGTTACCTTTAAGAGTTAATATTTTTAATTTCTCTATTTTAATTTCTGATATAATAAATATCAATAGGTGTAATCTACATAAACTAAAGCTCTACAGAGTATGCTCTCTGATCATATCAGAATTAAATCAGAAATCAATAACAGAAAGGTATTCGGAAAATCCTCAAATACTAGGAAACTAAACAACACACTTCTAAACATCCTATGGGTCAATGAAGAAATAACACGGGAAATTAGAAAATATTTTGAACTGAATGAGAATAAAAAACAGAACACATCAAAATTGTGAAATTCAGCTAAGAGTGTTTAGAATGAGGTTTATAGCTTTAAATGCTTATATAAGAAAATAAGAATGAGCTAAAATCAATGATCTATACTTTCATCTTAATGACTAGGAAAAAAAAAAGCAAAGTAAACCCAAAGTAGAAAGAAGGAAATAATAAAAAGTCAATGAAGTAGAAAATGAACAATGAAATCTTAACAATAAAATTGATAAACCTCTTGCAAGACTGATCAAGATTTAAAAAAGAGAAGACAAATGACTACTATCAGAAATGAAAGAGGGAATACTACTAAAGCCCCTGCAAATGTTAGAAAGTTAATAACATATGATTACTAACAACCTATGCCAAGGAATTTGACAACAGAGAGGAAATGGACAAAATTCTTTAAAGATACAAACAAACAAAACTGACTAAAGAAGAAATAGGTAACCTGAACAGCTGTATAGGAATTAAAGAAATTGAATCTATAGTTTAAAATCTTTCTTCAAAGAAAACATCAGGTCCAGATGGGTTCACTGATAAATTCTACCAAAGTTTTAAGGAAGAAATAGTATCAGTTTTTAAAAGCCTATCGCTTGCTTGCGTGATGTGCCTTTCACAATGTTTAAATTATTCTCTAAGTTCTAACTCAGCCTCTTCCTAAAGAGGCAATGAGCACATACTATGATCCTTAACTGATGCTATGAATATCTCACATTTACAAGTAAACTAAACAAATTCTTTGGGAAGATGACTGAAAATAGCTGTGGAAAAATTCATCCCCTAAATCATGCAATTGTTTTTTTACTATGCTTTTAGTCATGACCAAAAAAGCATTTTAAGAAATGAGACCTGCTACAAAGTCAAATACAGTATTTGACTGTATTCATTGAAGTTGGGGTCAATAGTTATTTACATACTGGAAAAATGCTACAATAGTCTTCTATAAATATTAACATGCTAAAAATATAATTAATCACACAGAGATTGTAAGTACTGGAAAGCTCCATTTCAAACCCAAAAGGTGGCCTCAAGCTGGAGAAATATATTTTATTAGCACATTTAGGCAAGACTTTAAGATCATAAATATTTCAAGGTATAAAAACCTATAGCTCATAGTCTGCAGAAGGCATGACAAGGACAGAAAGTTTCCATGACTTGTTTCACACATTGCCTCAGATCAGCGGCCAGCACAGGCTTGAAAGAATCACACAAAACCCCTGTTCCTTTGATCATATGTATTTAATTCCTCACAGTTTCAAATTGAAGCAGAAATAAAACACTGCCCCTGACACATTAATAAGTACCAGACTTAGGAAAAATTATATCAGATTTCAGCATTTAAGTAATTTCTCTCTATGCATATATTAAATAAGAATGCAGGAAAAGTTGAATAATCTCTTTCTTTTAAAAAACAGTTTGATAAGGAACTCTCTTCACTGATGGTGAAAGTATAAATTACTACACGTTGGAGAGCTATGGGGCAGTATCTACTAAAGTTGAAAAAGCACATTCCCTATGGCTCAGAAATTAAACAATTAGAATGTACAAGAATATGTTTCTAGTGATTTTTAAAAGGGAAAAGCGTAAAAGTGCATCGACAGGAGTATGCATGCATAACTTGTGATAAATCCATGCAAGAATTATCACACAACCGTTCAAAGCAATGACCTAGAGCACGTAGAGAATGATAGCATTATATAAACGTTTACAATGAGACTATATATTGGTTTCTGGATAAATACCTAAGTAGCAAAAGTATAAAAATATGCAGAGTATAAGTAAACACTGAATTCTGGTAGGTGGGGAAGGAGAAAAAGGCATGCGATTCCCAAGGGGTACATAGGAGGCCTCTTCTGTGTCTGCAAGTTTTTTTTTTTTTTTTTTTTAACAAGGGGTGGGTACCTGCATGCTTGAACACTTTGTTTTGTGAAATATTTTAAAACGAAAAAAGTTGAATATTTTATCATATACCTCAATACACTTGGCCTATGAGTCTGTTTGCTTTTTTCACAATAATCAAACGAGTAATTCTACCCATTTCTAAAATGTTTATTTAGCTACGCCACCATAAGCATCTAGGGAGAAAACATACCGTTACTTGGTGCAAACTGTCAAAATACAAGTGAGTGCTTCACAGCCAGAGCTGAACAGAAAAGGCCATGGACAGTAAGGGAACAACTGCTGTGACCTGAATTTCAGCAACTCTTTGAACGGCCAGGTGACTGGTTGTCCAGCCCTCCCCTTGGCTGCATTTGGAAGACCGGGCTAAGTAAGCCGGGAGAACAAGGCAGAGGGTTGAGGCACACAAGAACCACAGGGACAAACACAGCACTGCCAACAGGTGTAAGGTATTATACGACCTAGGGTCTGGGGTTCTGGCCTGGTTCTGCATTTATGAGTAACTTCTCAATCCGCGAAAAGCATCAGAAACGTACATTAAGAAGGCTTGGGAGACTGGGTAAGTGTACCTGTGGGTTTTACGGTTTTCATTTGCAGGGGTGAGGGTAGCGAAGTGAAGATGGAGGCGGGGCCAGGGTTTCCACGACCTCACCCCGAATTCTGAGGCCAGACGTTGGAGTCCTAATCGGGGCGGGGACTCTGTCGGGGTCGTCCCAGCAGCAGGCAGGTGCCCGAGGGACCACTCACCTGTCGGCGGTGCCGGGCGAGGGGCGGGGAAGCGGGCGTGGGCGGGAAGGGGTCGCAGCCCCACAAACTACAACCCGCTGGAGCGCGGACTAGCGGCCCCGCCCAGCCTCGCCCTCCTGTGACGTCAGCGCCCGCGGACCACTCAACGACCGCCGCTGCTGGCTCCCCGGCAGCCGATTGGCCGGTGGAGGGAGAGGCGGGCGGCGGGAGCCGGAGAGAGGAGGGAAACCCTGCGGGCAGGCGACCGTTGCCATGGACCCTCTCGCGCGTAGTAACCACAGCTCCGGGGGAGACAGAGAGGTGGAGGGGGTGAAGGGGTGAAGGGTCCCCCGCCTCCCCTGCGGCGCCTAAATCGGAGCTCTCTCAGCTGCGCAGACCTGGGTGGCCCATTCTAAGGCTCGGGATGCTGACAAGCCCCCGCGTTTCAGCCTGGCTGGGAAGACAGGCTGACATTTCCCCACACCCTAACCTGGCCATACCCATTTGTGCTTCTCCCTGTGACATAGTGGATGCCATTCTTTTATTGAAGACACAGATAAATCAGTTGTGTCCACGTAGCTTTGGAGAATGGCAACAGTTAACTAGAGATGGACAAGCCATTTTTCTCCAAAGCCACGCGTACATAACTGATTTATCTGTGTCTTCAATAAAAGATTCTAACTCAGTTGTGATTTGATGACAGTTGCCCTTGTATGTATCCTGTCTAGGCATTGGGGGGGTGCAGGTGGAGAGGGTGTGCTAAAGGGCGGCTGGTGGGAAAATAAAGGAAGAGGAGAAAAAAAGTGAGAGAGGTGAGAGCGATATATGGGGGTATGAGTGTGTTGGGCTCAGGAGGAATGTTTAGGAAAAGGAAATAGAAAATATTGCCTTTACAGCCAACTGTCTCTAATCTGTCTGTGCCTTCTAAATTTTTTTAATCCCATAATTCCATTTTTATGGCTATTTATACAGGGAAGTTGGAAATATTTCACATTGTCAAAGTTGGGAAAGGTGATTAAAAACATTTTCCGTCTAAATTTTAAAACAATGTAAGTTCTTGCAATGTATTCTTTATCGTTGTTCTTGGAAATTACTCAGAAACAGATTTGGGACTTTTTATTCCAATTTGTACCATCAATTTCAATGGTATTCTTTTCCTTGAGTGCTGTGTTGAGAATCAGTAGTTTTGGAAACTATAACCTGTAACTGGGTATGGGATCCAAATGGCCTTCATGCACAGAATATAACACTAATATTTACAGAAAAGTGCTTTGTGGTGTGTTTATTGGCAACTTAATTGAGTGTGTGATGTGTTCGTTGAGAATTTTATCATTTACAACCACAGGAAGGTAGTATCCGTTGTCACTGTTATGTTTTGCTTATGTTACTAGGTTATTTATAGGGGTGTGAATCACCATCGGCTTTTTTCATTGAAAGACTTTTTCATGACATGAAATTGCAGCGCACACCTCGTTGAGAGTATTCCCAGAGAGCCAAGGTACACAAGTACCTATCAAGTTCAGGTATCATATTCTAGCTCACTTATTTAGCAAGTGAGGAGCTGTGTCCTAGAGGCTAAATGACATGCCCAGGGTCGCATTTCTGTGTGTGTCCTTCGGATCAAGTAGAAAACAATGGACTCCCACAGCCTCTCTTTCCTTTTGTTTCCATCAGAGCCATTATGTCACCGTCGTATGTTTTCACGTATTGTCTCCCCCATTAGACTATGTCCCTGCGAGGGCAGAGACAATGACTTTCCAGCCTTAGTCACAGGAAGCATTTTTGAAGCACTTGCTCTGTGCCAGCTTCATACACATCATTTATGACCCTCATCATAAGGTTGAAAATATGATTCCCCTTTTATAGGGACTTACAGGTTAAGTAACTTGACCAAGGTCACATTAGCCAGGAGGTCATAGAGCTGGAGTCTAACCTAGGTCTGTCTGACCTCAAAGCCCATGGTCTTCCCCCTACATCAAATAGCTATATTCCTTCTCGTGTATTCTCCTTTCTATCCTCAGCGCCAGCCGTCGAGCTTGGCCTACAGTGTACTCCTAGCGCATGTTTGTTGAATGAATGAATGAGCGCTTGGAGAAGGAGGGACCAGCTTCCCTCCCTGGTACTTAATAGTGATGATTCGGGGCAAATCCCCAAATCACGCCAGGTCTGTTGTATCTCTCCATAAAATGGGGCTAATGATGCTTCACTGGCCTGAAAGGCAGAGCGTTAATCAGATGCTCTATTGAAATCCTTCCCAGAAAATAGATGGAAATTCAGATGCTCGCTTATGAGTAGTTCTGGGAAAGCTAAGTGTATTTAGAAGTGGGAATGGCACCCACTTCTGCAGGGACAGTTGGACTGCTTCTCTTTCTCTCTGAAATAAATAAAACTCAAGGGAAAAGCAACCCAGATTGGAGCTATCAGGTGAGGTGTGTTGTGGTGTATTAATCAGAAGCCACCCCAGCAGCTGAGATAGCTAGACAATTAATTGGTCTCCATGACCTAAAGTCTTATATGATGTGGGACGCCTCTGAAATCTAATCTTAAAGTTCCATTAAGATTAGACCATTTAGAAGGTCCTGGTATTTATTGGCCGTCCAATGTCATCAATTAATCATCATCCACAATAAAGATGACTCATTTTAAGTGCTGCAGGGAGATCCTGACAATCTAAAGGAGGAGAGAAACAAAGACACAAACAGGACGCTTTAAAGATGTTAAGAGTCATACAGTGGTGGGACTTCCCTGGTGGCTCAATGGTTAAGCATCCGCCTGCCAATGCAGGGGACACGGGTTCAATCCCTGATCTGGGAAGATCCCATATGCCGCGGAGCAACTAAGCCCGCAAGCCACAACTACTGAGCCCACGTGCCACAACTCCTGAAGCCTGCACACCTACAGCCCGTGCTCCTCAACAAGAAAAGCCACCACAATGAGAAGCCCGCACACCGCAACGAAGAGTAGCCCCCGCTCACCGCAACTGGAGAAAGCCTGTGCGCAGCAACGAAGACCCAGCACAGCCAAAAATCCATTTTAAATAAATAAATTTATTTTTTTTTTAAAAAAGAGTCATACAATGGTATATGTTAGGTTGTGGCTTATACTTCATGCTACATATGAAAAAAAAACAGGGCTATATCAAAGCTACTTAAAATTTTGATCTGGCATTTTAGGAGCTGAGGCCATTTTGTAATATTCTCGCGAAGATTCTGCAGAGACTGCATTATTTTTTCAGTGTGACTGATATAAGACTAACGGGTCTGAGTAGGCTGGTTTATATCAGCGATACACCGTATTTCATCCAGATGAGTCTTTATCAGTTAAGAAAAATTAGCTTCTGAACTCAGCTACCACTGGGAGGTTGTTAAACTTTAGTCAAGGAGATAGAGCATGTCAAACAGAGAGTCAGACAGTCAATGTCTCGAATTTACTGGACCAAGATCCCTCATGCAAGCACTGAAGGTATTTTAGCTGTGGGCATGCAAGGCAATGAATTAGACAGGTAACTGGCAGTAGTTTGATTTATAGTGGCTCACAACAGCCCATTGTTAAATTTGCAGGAATTTTGCAAGCCCATTGTTAAAGAGTCCTTATTAAGAGCTGAATTATATCAATGTATAATTAAATAAATTATATCGAAACGATGGTAATAAATACTCAAAACATCACTTTCTAATTCTTTTACAACACTTTACTGTTTTTCATCCTTTTGAGTTTATCTTCATCTGTTGCATCATTATGGTGGAAATACTACATAATGACGGTATCCCTTATCATTTTTAAGTTCAGCAACGTCACATTGGTAAATTGGGATTGACCGCGATGGGAGTATTTAAACCGTGGAAATCATTAAAAGCTACAAATCAAGGCTTCATTTATTGTTTTCTTGATTGTCTAGACTCGAGAAAGTCATAGAGAAAATGCTATGATGCAGATGAAACTTTAAAAATGTCTTGTGTCTGTGGCCATTACATTGTGACAAGCAAAAAAAATAAAGAAGCTACATTCTCCCAGTATTGAAAACAAACATCTGATTCAGCAAAGAAGTGATTCATATCATTAAGTGAAATTTCAACACGCACCTTCAGTTTTGTCTACTCAACGTAAATGAAAATATCAACCAGCATTCAAGCTGAAACTCCTTTCATCAATTGCAAGGTTGGCTAGAGATACCAGTGTAGCAAAAATCAGGAAAAGCATTGGGCAAAAATCAATTGACAAGATTCACTTTGTTATAAAGCAGAAACTAACACACCATTGTAAAGCGATTATACTCCAATAAAGATGTTTAAAAAAAAATCAGTTGACTATGTGGAATTTACAATACAGAGTATCATGTATTTTTGTGACTATTTATAAGTTGTGTGCTATGTGTCCTTTATATCATTAAAATGTATAATGAACTTATGTATGTATGTATGCAGACATTTTCCCCAGAGAGCCAGCTGTTAAATATTTACACCACTGGAAGTGGGCCCCTGTTTTTATCCTTAAAGAGATTATTCTCTGGCAGGACACAGGCAAAACCCCTGTGCTGCAGACTCCAGTGTGGTGAGAAGCATCAGAAAGGAACTCAAGTCTCTCAGGAGTTCTGAAGAGGGCAAAGCAGCATCACCCAGGGACTCTTGAAAGATGAGTTCACAGGTTATATGGAAAATCGCCTAGCTCTTTAGACCGATGAGGGTTTGTGGAAGTAAAAATGGAGTAGGATAGAGAAAGATGTGCTGTATGTGTATAAGATATACATACAAGCTCATCTAAGCAGACCTGCTCTCTCAGGAAGCCAGATCTTGAGTCATCATATTTGATGTTGCAAAACTCTGGTTGAGAATCATAGACTAGGCCTGCCAGGGAGCCACCAGATACCCTGTCATTGTGTAACAGAGCAGGACCATATGGGGCCTTCCCCAGGACAGGCTTTCCCCCCCCCCCCCCCCATCCTCCGCTTTAGCTTGTCTCTGAACTACCTAGATAATAGTATTTGATGCAAATTTCCCATGTTGTTTTGCAGATGTTGAAAACACCCCCCCCCCACCACCACCAAATGGAAGAT